GATGCTGGGAGCAACACTGTTAGGTTCATGTAAGTTTCTGTGGACCTTATTTTCTATCCTGGTTTTTAAGTATGGATCTTGACACTTTGTTATCAAAGGGAACATGGTTTATACCAAATTGTAGGCCTTAGTGGTACGCTAATCAGTTTTTGGGTGTTTATTGCTACTAAATTAAAAATAAAGGTTTTTGTCAAGGCCAATAGGTTAGCATCTGAAAGCAGATTTTAAATTAGCCCTTTAATTTTATTTTATCCCTCACTTAAAATCTTTAGTCCCTACACGCAGTATATAAAGATGTAATTTGTGACAACAACAATATAAGGGGGTAGAGAAAGTGGTGTAGGAACAGAGTTTTTGTATGTTAAACTAAAGTTAACTTGGTATCAATTTAAACTAGGTTTTTAGAAATTTAGGATGTTAAGTGTAAGGCCCATGGTAACGACAAAGGAGGTATCTTAAAAATATACACAGCCAGGCCACTGTGCATTCCCTGCTCGAGTTAGCACTGAAGGGAAGTTCCAGTGTAGATGCAGGGAATGGCACCTAGACTGAGGGGCAGCATGGGCAAAGGAAGGTCGATACAGAAGTGTAGGCATATGCCACGGTCCCTGACCATCTTTTTCATAGCCTCTGTGGTCTTCATATATTATCCCATTTCTTTCCTCGATTGTTAACCTCTGCCTTGTTGTTACCACTTTCCCCCATCCTATGTACAAATATTTGCCATCCTAAAACAAACAAACAAAACAAAATGAAGAAACAAACAAAAAAAAAAAACCCCAATAAACCAACTAACTGTTCCTTGACCCTGCGGTCACTTTTAAGTATAAACCCATCTCTCCTAACTTCTTGGCCAGCTTCCAGTAATTGTAGTCTACTATTGCTGTCTTTACCTCTAAATCACTTATGAATTCACTGTAATGGGTCTCCTGCCCCAACCGGTCCATTGAAACAGTTTTGATGAACTCCATTAGCCTTCATATGTACACTATTTGAGACTCTTAACCCATCACTCTGCAAACCTCTACTTGGAGCTTCTGGCTCCCCCTGAATATCAAGTAGGGTTCTTGGTTGCTTGCAACAGAAATGGATCCTGGCTAACCTATGCAAAAATGATTCTTTTTTGGAAGATTGACAGACACTATTAAGTTACTTTCCCCTTCTTCCTTGCCGACAAAATACTGACTTGGAGTAGGGAACAATGTGCTAGACCCACATATTGTCAGCTTCCCTGACAAGGCATGGCTGTGTCACACAACTCTGGCTGTCATGTGCAAGGAGACGTCTGTTGAGGGGCATCTGAAAAATCTTGCTTTCTAATATAAAGAGACAAGGAGAAGGCCTGTTCTTCTTCCTTGAACCCAGTTGTGTGATGATGTGATGCTGGTAGATACAAGAGCCAAATTATAAGAGCAAGGGTTGGGAAGCAGAAAGAGAAAGAACACCGGTTCTTGTTCACTTTGTAGAGGTCCTGCACTAAATGTTGACCTGTTTATCACCCAACTACCTGTTGAAATGACATAATTACAGTAAGTGCTGTTTATTGCCTAAGCCACTATTTGGTGTTCTGTTACTTGCATCCAAAAAAGCTGTTTACTTCTGTTACTGATTCAGAACAATATTTGGTGACTATTAGACTACTTGGAAGACTGGAGAAGCAGGCATGGGAACTGAAAGGGAAGGGGGGCCAGGGCAAGAACCATAGCCAGGCACACACCTTAGGAACAGTCTGGTTAGGATGCTTCCTCAGGCACTGCTCCCTGAACTGTCACTGGGCTCTGGACCCTGGACCCCTTCACCACTGGAAGCTGCTGCTGTGAATGAATGGTGAACTATCTCAGTAGCCCTAGAACAGCACTGTCCAGTAGAAACACAATGCAAGACACACATAACTTTAAATTTTCTAGTAGCCACATTGAAAAAGGTAAAAAGAAATAGCTGGAATGAATTTTAGCAATATGTTTTATTAAATCAAATATGCCCATAATGTTAACATTTCAACATGTAATCAGTAGAAAAGAATCTACATTATTTTTTCATACTAAGTCTTCAAAATCCAATCCTGTTGTTTTCTAGCCATATGTTCATTTCATGGCTGGACATGACCACTTACATGTCCCACAGACTTCTCCAACTCAGAATTTCCCCGTCTGAACTTATGATTTTCCCTCCAAATCTGCTCTTCCCTCCTCTGATCCCTGACTTCATTTCATGGCACCACTATATATCCATTATCCAAAGGAGAAACTTAGGAATGTCTCATTCTCTCCCTTCACTCCTAACTTTCTATCAGTCACCAGGTCCTGTTCCTTTTTACTTTTGACGTTTTCTCAGATTTGGAGCCGTGGTGGCACAAATGGTTAAGCACTTGGCTGCTAACCCACAAGGTTGGTGGTTCGAACCCACGCAGTAGATCTGTGGGAGAAAGACCTGGTAATCTGCTTCCTTAAAGATTACAGCCAAGAAAACCCTCTGAGACAGTTCTGCTGTGTCACATGAGTGAGTTGAAATCAACTCGACGGCACCTGACAACAGCAGTTCTGAGCTGTGTTCATCTCCAGTCGTCTTTTAGAGAAGTGTTGTAGAAATCCCATAACTCATCTCCTGCCTCCTGGAGCCCTTTGCTTCTTCCCTTTCCCTCCTCTCCATTCCCCAGATATTCTGTGTACTACAGCCAGAGTGAGGTACCTAAATCCCAGGTTATCATTCCTCTGCTTAAATTTTTTCAGTTGTTCCCATAGCCTATGGAATAAATTGCAAGCTCCTTTAAATGGCATATGGAGCTTCCTTGTCTATCTAGTCTTGAAGGCCCACTGTGGGTGGAAAGATAGCTTGGCCTGAATTGCAGATATCTTTGTGAACAATAAGCATTCAAATATTTGATGAATGAAGAAATAAAAATCGGATCATCTTGTTTTATAAGTTAGGTTTGGGAGGAAAATAACTTCAGGTAATGAGTCCTTTGTCATCATAACCATATCTGTTGTAGTATGTCCATGTAAAGCATCATTACTTTTTAGCTGTCCTTTAAAGGTGATATGCCCATGTTAGTTAACTCCACGACATCTAAAATCACATCACATGTGTCTTTGTCCCTTGTATCCAGGGTACTGATGCTTACATCTATCCTCTGCCCACTCTGCTCTTGCCAGAGGTAATACCAAAGAAGATTCGCTAATGTTTCTACCTTAGATCAGGGATTGGCAAGCTGCTGCCTGTTTTTGTAAATAAAGTTTTATTGAAACATACACCGTTCATGTACATATTATGATCTATGGCTGCATGTAGTGCTACAACAGCAGAGTTGAGTATTGGTGACAGAGACCATATGGCTTGCAAAGTATAAAATATTTACTGTTAGGTCTTTTACATAAAAAGTTTGCATACCCTTGCCTTTGAGCCACATAATGTTGGAAAGATAAACCCTTACATAATGTCCAAATTAGTTAGTAACCTCTGATTAGGAATTAGGAGAATACAGATAAAAAATGGACAAACCTTTCTGAGTTTGCATGCCCTGTTTATGAGATGGTTTTGTTAAATTTCTTTATGCTGCTTCTGTTTTGCTACATATCATTAAAGAAAGATTGTCTGCATTTCTTACCACATATTGTTGTTGTTAGGTGCCATCAGGTCGGTTCCGACTCATAGTGACCCTGCGTACAACAGAAAAAGCACTGTCTGGTCCTTCTTCTCCATCCTCACAATCATTATGCTTGAGCCCATCGTTGCAGCCAGTATATCAGTCCATCTTGTTGAGGTTCTTCCAGTATCACAGCAACACGCAAGCCACCACAGTACAACAAACTAAGATGCGTGTATATGTGTATATATATGTGTGTATATGTATATATGTATGTTTTTGGAGCCCTGGTGGCACGGTGGTTAAGAGCTATGGTGTGCTATGGCTGTTAACCAAAAGGTGGTAATTCATATCTACCAGCTGCTCCTTGGAAACCCTGTGGAGCAGTTCTGCTCTGTTCTCTAGGTTCGCTATGAGTCAAAATCGACTCGATGGCAACGTGGGTTTTTTTTTTTATATATATATGTACGTTTTTAAGTCTGAAAGTTTTAAAATTAATCTCAACCATATGCACAAAATTGAACACCAAAGTCAGGTGTGTGAAATATGAGTTGTAGAAAAAGTTTGTCTTTGACAGACTGCTTAGTGTGCAGAGGCTTAAATACAGCACTTCATTAAAACAATTTAAAGCATCAGTTTATATGTTTCTCTCCCTATAACCTGCCCCCTTTTCCCATCCCTGCCTTCTGTCCTTCTGCTGAGTTCCTTCTGATTTGACCAGTTCTTTATTGTTCCTATTTATGAAAATGAGTAGGCTACTGAGGCACAATCAGTAGCCTGGAAGTACACATGTGAGGTGGCCTGTACCCGGGGTATAGTAAAATTATTTATTGACTGGTGGGATGTGAAGTATGGACCAGTCAGAACTGATATCAACTGGAATGCTGGAGCAGGGTCCAAGAGTGCCGGGAGTTACTCCTCAGTTATGGGGTGTTGGGGAGATCTTGGGTCCTGGGACTGGGAGCTGGTTGAAACAGGGATGCGTTGTGGGTCAGGATGGGAAGGCTGGGGATACTGGCTGATTATCAGCCTTGCTTCTACTGATGCATGCATTACTTCCAGTACAGCAAAGATCCCTTGGTTCACTCTTTCATCAGATGTGTTCAGAATGCCTGTCACGCACCAGATACTTTTCTAGGTGTTGGGGATTCAAAATGAGTCAGCGTGCTTCTTGCCATTGAGAAGCTTAGACGTGGATGTGCTTGGAGAGACGTGGAGTGGGAGGGTAACAGGAGGATCTGCTGGCAAAACCATGCGTGTCCACTAAGGGTCCAAGTGTTTTAGATTTAAAAAACCTTTTGAAGTCTTGCACTAAGCCTATATACATTATGCTTTTTAACTATAATTTCTGCTTATTAAAAAAATTCAATTTTTATAGCTGATATTTCTTATTTAGGATGTAATTTATTCATTTTAGGTTGCCTGCCTGATTCGAGTTCCTTCTGAAGTTGTTAAACAGAGGGCACAGGTATCTGCTTCGTCAGGGACATTTCAGATTTTTACTAACATCTTGTATCGAGAGGTGAGGTTGTTTTTTTTTTTTTTTTTTAATGTGTTTTTAAGCTCTCATCTTTTATTTTTTGAGAAATATTTTATAGTAGATTGATATTCTGAACTCTGTGGGCCTCATCCCAACAGCCTTAGAAGGGTCCTTACAGCTAGATTTAATGTCCAGTCATAACTTTTTATGCTAAATTATCTTTGTCTTTCCTTATTTTGTTTTTGAATTTTACTTTCATTTTTATTTCTTTTTCAAATTTCTAAACAAATGCATATCGAGTGCCACTACTGTATATGCAGAGCCCTGGTGGCGCAGTGGTTAAGCATTCGACTGCTGATCAAAAGATTGGCAGTTCATATTTACTTTTCGCTCCATGGAATCCCTATGGGGCAGTTCTGCTCTGTCCCATAGGGTCGCTATGAGTCAGAATCGACTTGACAACAACAGGTTTTGGGTTACTGTATGTGTGTCCTATTGAAATCTTCCTGTAGTTCTTTTGGAATCAGACATGGAGTAAATTGTAAATATGTAAAGAGTAAAGATACTGTATTAAAACATCACTACAGAATTTGAGGACCCATGAAAAAGAAGGATAGTAATAGAGTAGTATTAGTGGCCAGCGTCATAATATTTATATCAGATGCAGTTCCTCTTTTATTGATTAGCGTTAAGCTCTGGGTCAAAAATCATTCTTGCTGGGTCAGAAATTAAACTTTTTATGGAAAAGGTCAAATAGTAAATATTGTATCATGTGCCTAGGGAGCATTTAGGAGGCCTGGTGGCGCAACGGTTAAGCATTCAGCTGCTAACAGAAAGGTTGGTGGTTGAAACTCACCCAGTGTCTCCTTGGGAGAATGACCTGACGATCCGCTCCTGTGAAGATTATTGTTGTGGTGTTGTGTACCTTCGAGTCAGTTCCAACTCATAGCAACCCTGTATGACAGAGTAGAAAAGCCCTGTAGGGTTTCCTAGACTGTGATCTTTATAGGAGTGGATTGCCAGATCTTTTCTCCCGAGGAGCCAAGCACTTAACCACTGTGCCACCAGGGCTCCTTTCGTAAAGATTACAGCCTAGAAAATCCTATACGGCAGTTCTACTCTGTCACTTAGGGTGGCCGTGAGTGGAAATCTACTCAGTGGCACCCAACAACAAGGGAGCATTTAGCTGCTGTCCCTTACAGTTTTTACAGAAGCCTTTTTTCCCGAAGAGAATCAATCTCGTGGAAATTTCAATGAGTCTAGGTTTTAGAAAAGTTACTCTTAATGGCCCCTTTGTCCCCTAGGTGAGGAGACATTGAGTATTTATTTGTATGGATGAGATAATCCAGTTGAGGGTCCATGCTGAGCCTTGTGGATAGTTAGTAGATAAATCAAGTCTTGTCCAGAAGTATTTATCACTATTGTATTGAGAGATTATCATTGAGTTTCTGATGTCTTTTGATCAAAACTATGGAATATAATTTTATTTTTCTTTGAAAGGATAATCAGCATTCTGTGTGCGTTTGCGTTGGGAAGTATATTCACTTCAAAGCATCTTAAGGGTTCTTTTCAAGAGAAGAAATGTTGAATAATGGCAACTAAAACTAATATGTGGTCAGTTTTATTACTATGTCCCTATTTTAAAGGGAGCTGACTGAAAATTTGCATACCTGAGGCCAGTTTAGAACCTTTAGCCTCTCAGAGAATTGTGGGAATTGTGAACGTTTTAAAACTCAAGTTTTAGAATAGGTGGATCTGCTTCATTCAGAATGTCGTTCGGAAGTCTTCTCTGCTCTTATAACTTTCTAAGCTCTTGGCTTTTTGTTTCAGGGCATCCAAGGATTGTATCGAGGCTACAAAAGCACAGTTTTAAGAGAGGTAACTCACTTAATTTCCAGTATTGAAGTACAAAAGAATGATGTTCTTTGTTCAGTAAATTTATGCTTCTGAACTATCAGAAGTTTATTTGGAGAAACTGGTTTAAAAAATTTTAAAAAATTATGATCACTTTAAAAAAAAAACCTCTGGTTAGTCCTATCTTGCTTCCTCTAAAAGAACGAGTGGAATGGGTTTGCTGCAGGAGCAATCCCCGTGGTCGGCATAGCTCATCCCACAGCTTCATTGTTATTCTAGGGTGGCTAAGTTTTTGCTATAGCTGAAATATTCAGAAATGATTGCATGGCAGCAGATTTGGTTTATTTTTATTTTTATTTTTTGGTTTACTAAGAGTAAGATATCAAGTTACTTACTGTAATATGCAGAATTAATAAAAAATTAGTAATGAAAAAAGCACACTAAGGGACAAGTGCCTCAGAAGCCTGTATCATGTAGTTAGCTCTTGGCTTGCTGATGGCAAGGAAGTTAGGGAAATATCATGAGCTGGGAGTTCAGTCTGGGCTGGAGTCCTGGCTCTGCAGTGTGCCCCCGGGCAGGCCACTCCATCTCTCTGTGCCTTCCACCTCTATAGAGTTCTGTGGTTGAAAAGGCAAAGCTTTATCATCAATATGTGATTTCGGTTTATTACTTCAGGAAGCGTGTTTTTTTCTTTGCCTCAGAAGAGGCAGTTTTGAAGTTAAAAAGTTGACTTATAGATATGTGTGATACGAGAGAAGTCTTCGGTTTGGGACTTAATTTTCTATTAAAATACAAATAGTAACCTACATACATCTACACTGCATCTTTGTTTTGTATTTGGAGTTCTTTTGATACTAAAACATTTTTATGTATAAAAAGTTTTAAGTAAGTATTCTCATAATTAGCAGAACATGGAAATTTTTTGAAATCCCTCATTTTATTCCCAGGTAGCTTTTTATATTTTATTTTATTTTTTTACTGTAGATTACAGTCGTCTTCTTTTTTTAGATTACAGCCTCTTTTGTGTAACACCAGCACTATTACACATTATTTGAAGCTTTTGGTTTCTGCAAGGTAACAACCGGCAGAGTTGTGTAGTGTAGTTAGTGTAGGTCTTTGAAGAGCCTCTTTTGAAGGCAGTCTCAGTGTTTCAGAAGTAGTTATTTGTATGAAGATGACTTTTGCCTTTCAGAAATATCACCTGTACCATATCTTCATTCGCTACTAATTTTCTGATTCACTAAATGTGGTGTTTACTCAGATTTCACCTGTATGCAGGAAAAAGGGGGGGCAATAAACCTTTTTGATTTTTCTGAGAGGTGCTGAATAAATGGATATATTTACATGCTCTAGGATACTGGTTTGCATACAAAGAAATAGATAAAACCTGTGGTTACAACTGCATTCTGCTCTTTTAAAAATTTGTTTCGACGTATGTCAAGCTAGTAATTAATTTCTAGGCTGCAGTCCTTGCAAATAGTGTGACCCTACTGAGATGACTTTGTTTACTCAAAATGGCAGTGCTTTGTTGGAAATTTAATTGGGGTCTTGTGTATTATGCATTTTCATAGAAGATCCTTCAAAACTGATTTTACTTGAAATATTGCCTTTGTAGAAATTCTCTGATAGAATGAGGGAAGAATTATTGCTGAGTGAAATGTAGCTTCTTTTCAAAATAAGAGAAATAAGAAGTGCTATATCTGCTTTAAACAAAATTTTTGCATTATAGTTTCAATTCTTCTATTTTTCTGACACCAATATCACATCTTTTTACAAAGAGCTTTTTTGATTGTTTCAATAAGTAAGTACATTAAGCCTTAGTGAGAATCACCAGGAAACTTATACATTTTTTCTGTGTGCAATTTTTCCCTTAAAATTGTCTTATCTCTGTGGCAGTAGCCCATTAGAATGAGATTGAAATTTGAATCCATGCATTATAAAATAGATTATGTGTCGTCTTTAGATTTGTGAATAGTGTCACATATTTTTTTTTTACTAAATTTTTTGTTTATTGAGATGGGATGCTGTTAGGGATTGAATTGTATCGCCCCAAAATGTATGTCAACTTGGCTGGGCTATGATTCCCAGTATTATGTGGCTGTTCTCCAATCTGTGATCTGATGTGTTGTAAATCCTAACCTGTATGATGCTAATGAGGCAGGATTAGAGGCAGTTATGTTAAATGAGGCAGGACTTAATCTATAGGATTAGGTTGTATCTTGAGTCAATCTCTTTTGAGATATAAAAGAGAGAAGTGAGCATAGAGGAGAAGGGACCTCATTACCACCAAGCAGTAGAGCCAGGAGCAGAGCTTGTCCTTTGGACCCAGGGTCCCTGTGCTGAGAAACTCTTAGAGCAGGGGAAGATTGATGACAAGGACCTTCCCCCAGAGCTGACAGAGAGAAAGCCTTCCTCTGGAGCTGGTGCCCTGAATTTGGACTTCTAGCCTCCTAAACTGTGAAATAATAAATTTCTGTTGGCTAAAACTGTTGCACTTGTGGTATTTCTGTTATAGCAGCACTAGATAACTAAGATAGAATTTGGTACCAGGAGTGGGGTGCCACTCTAACAGTTACCTACAATGTGGAAGTGGTTTTGGAATTGAGTACTGGGTAGAGGCTGGAAGAGTTTTAAAGTGCCTAATAATAAAAGCCTAGATTGCCTTGAAGAGACTGTTGGTGGAATTATGGACGTCAAAGACAATTCTAATGAGGGCTGAGAAGGTAGGAGAGCTATAACACCTGAGATGGCACATACAGAAGCAGCAGCAGAACCAGGAGACCAGCGTGAGATGGTGCAGGAGCTGAGCCAAGGAGCAAGAGAGCTGAGTGCCTTCTGGCCGAGGTTTTCTGGTGGAGTAGGGTGCCTCCAGGCACATATCAGTAGAGCTAAAGAGCTTTGTAACACTGCCCAAGCAGGGCAGAGGCTGGGCTGGCCCGAGGGGCCGAGAGGCTGAGAGGCCAAGGAACCAGGAAGCAGAAGCTGAAGAAACAAGGAGCATGGGAAACAGAGCTGCCTCAGTTTAAGAGGGTGAGGCTACAGCCTCTGGAATCTCATAGGATAGAACCACGGCCTGCTGGGTCTTAAAGGGTGGCCCACAGCCTCCTAGGTTTCAAAGAGTCAGATCTTCACCAACTTGATTCCAGAGTGTGGGGCTGCTTTTCACGAGTGCCAGCGGGATGGGGCTAGATCTGCTGCCCAAAGCTGAGGGGGTAGGACTGCCATGCCGAAGGGGAAGAAGAACAGGGCTTACCGGGGCCGAGAGGGTGGGGTCACCACTGAGATGGACTAGGAGAATGGGGCCACCTAAAGCTAAGGGAGCAAAGTTCCATCCCAGTGGGCCTGTAAGGCGGAGCTGAAGCCCAGGGTTGAGGGACCTCCATCCAAAATCCAGAGAGTGTGGCTAACACTCAGAGTCTAGAGGGCAGGGCTACTGTCTAGATGGTCTCAGAGAACAGAGGATTATTTTCAAGCCTTGAGAGCTAATGTGTTCTGCTGATTTTTTTTTTTTTTTTAAACTTGCTTGGTGCTGGTTATTCCTTCTTTTCCTCCATTTTCTCCCATTTGTAATGGAAGTGTCCACCTTGTGCCTGTTGCACCATTGTACTTTGGAAGCAGATAACTTGTATTCCAGATTTCACAGATGAAGAGGGATTTTGCCTCAGGGTGAAATTGGATTTAGAGTCAATTTAAGACTTTTGGGATGATACAGTGGGGTGAATTTGTTTTGCATGCGGCAAGGACATGGATTTTGGGGGGGGCCAAATGGTAGATTAATATATTATAGATTGAATTGTGTCCCCCTAAAATGTGTCAACTTGGCTAGGCTATGATCTCTAGTATTGTGTGGTTGTCCTCCATTTTGTGATCTGATGTGTTATAAATCCTAACCTTTATGATGTTAATGAGGCAGGGCATAATATATAGGATTAGGTTGTATCTTGAGTCAATCTCTTTTGAGATATATAAGAGAGAAGTGAGCAGAGAGGAGAGGGACCGCATTACCACAAAGCAAGAAGAACCAGGAGCGGAATGTGTCCTTTGGACCCAGGGTCCCTGTGCTGAGAAGCTCCTAGAGCAGGGGAAGATTGATGACAAGGACCTTCCCCCAGAGCTGACAGAGAGGGAAAGCCTTCCCCTAGACACAGCACTCTGAATTTGGACTTCTAGCCTCTTTAACTGTGAGAGAATAATTTCTGTTTGTTAAAGCCATTCACTTGTTGTGTTTTTGTTATAGCAGCACTAGATAACTAAGATCTATACTTATCCCTTATGTTCTCCTAAATTGTTTTATTTACTGTGAATTTTAGACTGAGTCTAAGCAAGGTCACCAGATTATAGTATTTACCTCTGCCTTTCAGGATTCATCTTCCTTGTGATCCTGGCCAAGTTAGAGGTAGTCAGGCATCGTGGTGCAGTGGTGTTACTGCAGTAAGATGGTGTGGGGAGCAAAATCACAGCTGCTTTCATAGCCAGGCTGGTTTCAGAGGGCCCATTGGCCTAAAAGTTCTATGGAGAGCAACTTCACAATCTTGGATGTGAATTAGAAGGACTTCTATAGGGAAAGAAATCCGAGAAAGGCAAGTTGTTTCAAAAGAAGTAAGAATAAGTTAGGTTCAGCAAATGCCTTTTATCCACAAATTGTACTCAACAGTCACGTTAAGAATGTCTGCTGTGTATTGGCACTATGCAAAAACATTTCTTCCCTAAAGGATGCACATTCTGGTGGGGAAATCAATAGGGGAGTAGGTACTTTACATTGACTTTAATAAATGTGCTAATGATAAGTATATATATTTGTATAAGATGCAGCTAGGATTCTAGAAGCAATGCTTGACTGATACTCAATTAGTATTTGTCACATTAATAAAACCGAGTCTTGACTTAATTCTTGAAGGAGGGGGAATTAGAAGTAGTCAAGGAGACAGATGGAACAGCATGAGCAAAGGCATGTGTGAAAGCATGTGCATACCTCACTTATGTAAGCAGACTTGGTGTTTCCACTTCCATAGAAGAAGAGATAG